ATGATGGGAGTGAGGTGGAGAGATGCCCATGGCACTCACTTCTGCCTGGGCGAGGTGGTGGGACTGAGGCTCTTCATAGAGAAAGTTAGGTTTGAGTCGGACCTGAAATATGGATTGTAATTCATTCAGCACACAAGAAGAGAAGGAAAATTAGAGCAGCACAGATAGTAGTGGTATGTATGAAGGCTCAGAAATGTGGAAAATGTGGTGAGTTCGAAGAGGTACAAATGGCTTTTGAAATGGTTGGAAAGCAAGCAGAGTTGGTCTCCAAGCTTACCAGCTAAATATTAGCCCTGAGCTCAGAGCATGGGTGGGGAGGACATGTGTCTGGAAAAACAAATTAGGGTTAGATCACAAAGGGTCTTGTATGTCATGACAAGGATCTGGGCTTGAGAGAGAGAGAGTGTGTGTGTGTGTGGGGGGGGTGTGCATGCGCACATGTGTGCATGCACACTTATGCATGTATGTGTGTGGGCACATGAGCCCATGTGTGATGGGAGTGTGGTTTCACTGAAGAATTTTAAATTAATGAGTAAAAACTGTTCGATCAAGAGCTTTTCCACCAATCCTGGCCAATCTTTTCTACCTAATGCACTGTTTTTCTTCTTTAAGCAGATTGTCCTGGAATGTCCTTGCTGGAAGCCATCTTGTTTAGTTTAAATCACTCCTCCTTGTTATTTTAACCTAAGCCCAGATAACGAAGGCCAAGATTTTAATTGTCTCCAGCGTCAGGCAGTATGGGGCTGGTGTTGATTTTAGAAGGTCCTGGAGAGTGAGAGGAGAAAAGCAATGGAGTTTGTGCCTCCGAGTGTTTCCAGTCTTTGTGCTTCCAGTTCAGCATTTCTGGAGCACTTTACAGCAGGCCTTGTAGAGATTTAGTTGAAAATCAACTTATGGATTCCTCCCTAATTGGCTTGGCCAGGTTTAATCTGTTATTGGTCAAGCCAAGCTGGCTTCTATTATGCAGTGCACTGGGGTTCCCAGGGACGTTCTTATCCTAATGGAGGCTGGCTGTTTTTAGAAGCAAATTGTGGTGTTGATGAAGGCCGATATCATTGTGTCCTCTGAAGTGAACCCAGAAGGACGCCCATCTGATATAGCATTTAGGTCTTTTTTTTTTTTTAATTCTTATGTTAATCCCCATACATTACATCATTAGTTTTAGATGTAGTGTTCCATGATTCATTGTTTGTGCATAACACCCAGTGCTCCATGCAGAATGTGCCCTCCTCAATACCCACCACCCGGCTAACCCATCCTCCCACCCCCCTCCCCTCTAGAACCCTGTTTGTTTTTCAGAGTCCATCGTCTCTCATAGCATTTAGGTCTTTGACTAAAAAGAAAAAGTCTTGGATTTGGCATGTGTATGCTAGAGGGTTAGAGTTTTATAACTCTTTTCTCCACAAGATAAAACAAAGCTTCCTATTTGTTTCTGCCTCTTTGGGCCGATTCCTGGAAATGTGCAGTGTACCCCCTCTAAGCAGGAAGCACCTGCAGCTTAGAACAACTGCAGAGAGGGGCTCCTCGTGGCCTCGGGTACCCTGAGGAACATTGGAGCAGGGACGGGGGTGTCCTGTCACTGCAGGCCTGGAACCACTGGCCTTTGCTGAGTCCATCCCCTTGAGGTCATCCAGTGCTGGACACACAGACTTACGTGACAAGGAGAAAAATAAGAACTGTGTCATGGCCTTGGGGTAATTCAGGCGCACCGTGAGCATTTAGCCACCACTGAAAGTCGTTTATGTAGACCCAAGAGAGACCAAAGGGAGCCTGTGGGTCTGGAGAGTTTATGAAGGTAAAAAAGCAAACCATCAGGGCAACCCCAGGGAGAGGGCTCATCTCTGTCCCTGGAGATCACGTGAAGGAAAGGAGAGTGAGTGCACAGTCCTATTTTCCTATTTCCTGGAAGACCCTGGGTGTCTGGGTGGGCCGTTTGCACAAGTATGGTGAGGGTGTTCTGTCTACATTTACAGAGTAACCTGCCCCTTCCCCCTACCAGTCTCCTTGTGAGGCCCTTGTTGGGGCTTTGGAGAGTTTGCATGGTTTTGCTCAAGGAAGTCACTGACAAGAAGAAGAACACTTGCCCTGTAGAACTGAGCTTATTAGAATCAAGAAGACCAACTTAGAAGGCCATAAATAAAGGCACGTTCATATATATGCTTAAACACAGACATGCATTTTACAGGTTTTAGAAAACTAGTCTAACATCTGTTTTGCTTTCCTTGTTAATTACAACCCCCCCACCCCCTCTGCCCCCACCCCTACCCCTGACTCTAAAGTGAATTCCTCAACAAATCCTGATTTAAAAGATGCCTTAGACCCTGCATTTTGAACTGGCTCCCAGAACTTGTTTTTGAAGATTTCTCCTCCCCCTCCCCACTGCCCCAACCCCTTCAGCCAGCCAGCTTGGCAGGCCTTCATTCCAAGATCCAACCTTGACAAATCTGTGTCTTCTGGTGCATTTTGCCACCAACTGACACCTGCCAGTCTCCTGGGGCCAGCTGAAAATCCACTGGCCATCAAGGACCATGGCAGAGACAGACTTGCATCAGCAAGAGCAATAACCCACAACTGTGGGCCCAAGCAAACTGCCAAATCAAAAGCAGTTCCATGCATGTTCTCTTTCTCAAAACTGCTGTGGTTAGGCATATCCCTCTGTGAACATTTTCTATTTTATTATTACTTTTTTAGTTTAGATCCTGGGTTTTCATTCTTTATTTGAATATCCTAGAATCTTGAAGTTTGTCCAAGAAAATGAGAATCACAGCATCATTACAAATCAGACCTCAAGAGGAATTTAAACCTGTCTCTTTAGAACTTATCAGTGAGGATGCTGAAGCTCATTGAAGCAGAGAGAATTACCCAAGGACATATGGCTAGTGAGAAACATATCCAGGGCTAGAGGTCAGGCCTCCTGACTCTCATTCAGGGCTTATACCTTAAATTTGTGTCTGTTTAACATATCCGTATGCAGTATACATTGCAGCCACCTGTAAGTGTTGATATTTATCCCAATAAGGGGATAAATAACAGGTAACATTATTGAACAATTATTAAGTGGCAGAAATTGTTCTAAGCGCTTAATTTGTGCAATATCATTTACCGTCATGACAACCTAGATGGGCATTGTCATCCTCGATTTGCAGTCAAAGTAACCAAGACCTGGAGAAGTTAAATAAGTTGCCCTTGGTACATAGGGGGTTCCTATTAGACTGTAGCTTTCCTGGGACTCAGCACTGTGGTGGCTGAGCCCCTAGGGATGGATGGAGCCCTTGCCTTTCTAGTGGAAAAGAGGTGTGAGCACACAGTGAGGGCTGTAACAGAGGCAGACACCAAGGTGGGGCGAGGGTAGAGCAGGAGGAAGATGGCAAGGAGATGGCATTGGTCTTGGGGATGGAATGGTCTTGGGGATGCATAGATATTGTTAGCTGGAGAGCAGGTGTACAGGCGAGTGGGGGCACCTGCTGCCTTCAGGGAAGACCCCGAGGGGGAGAAACCCAGTGCCAGAAGGCAGAAGCTCGATGGCTGTGGGGGAAATGTGGAGAGATGGGGCTAGAGAGGTAGGTGGGGAGCAGACTGTGAAGTACTTGCCTCCCAAGATAAGGAATTTGGCCTATAGCCAAGAAACAGAGGGGAGCCCACAGCCATTTTTATGAGAGGTAAGTGACAGGATCAGACTACTGGGGGTTTTGAGGGAGGAGACTATAGAGGCCTGGGCAGACTGGTGACAAAGGAAGCAGTTAGGGGGTCGTGCAGTTGCCCAGGCTGAAGTGATGAGGGGCTGGAAACCGTACAGCCATCTGTTTGGCTCAGGCTTCCTCCCCTCCTTTGCTCACACTGCTTCCTCGGCTTGGAATGCTCTCTTCAGTCCAGGCCCGTCTTTCAAGACCAAGCTCAGGTGTTTGATCTGGGGGCTCTCCTCAGTCCCCAGCCTGAATAGGCTTGTGCTCCCCCTCCCCTGGGTCTCCGCTACCTCTGGTACATTCCTCATTCTCTCTTGGCACGCAGAAAATCTCGGTGCACATCTTTGTGTACATTTCTCTCTTCTGCTTTACACCCAGCTCCCTGAAGCAGGACCAGACCTTTGCCTCCTGAAATACTTGGCAAGGTGCCTGACATTCAGTGAGCTCTCAATAAATGTGTGATGAATGAATAAACTTTCTAAATAAAGGCAGTGACTATGGATATGGAAAGAAGAGGCCAAATTTGGGAGGTGTTTTTTTTTTTTTTTTTTTTTAAGTTACATCAGGGGTTGGCAAACTATGGCCCACGAAGGCGCCTGGGTGGCTTAGTCGTTAAGTGTCTGCCTTTGGCTCAGGTCATGATCCCAGGGTCCTGGGATTGAGTCCCACATCGGGCTCCCTTCTCGAGGGGAAGCCTGCTTCTCCCTCTCCCACTCCCACTGCTTGTGTTCCTGCTCTCGCTATCTCTGTCTCTGTCAAATAAATAAATAAAATCTTTTAAAAAAAAAATAACTATGGACCATGGGCCAAATCCAGCCCACTTTATGTACTGCTTTTGTGAATAAAGTTTTATTGGAACACAGCCAAGCTCGTCTGTCCACGTGTTGTCTCTAGCTGCTTTTGCTCTACAATGGCAGAGTTAAGTCATTGTGACAAGACTGTGGCCTGCAAATGCAAAAATATTTACTATCTATACACTTACTGAGAAAGGTTGTCAACCTGTGAGCTAGAGGACCAGGATTAGTGACTGGAGATAAAGAGTGACGGAAAGGAGAGAGTCAAGACTTCTCCTTTTCTCACATCTCCTCACTGTGCCTAACACAGAGCTGTGCTCTGGGGTGATGGCCTTGGCCTGTGGGCCTGCAGACACTGAGAGAGAAAGACCCATGACTGTGGGGCAGGAGGAAAAAGGATCCTAGGAGACCAAGTTGGGAAAGAGACCCCGTAAGAAAAGACAAGGGGCCATAGCTGCAAGGCGAAGTTTACCTAGATCCTGCTTCTTCCTGGTGAAGCTTCTCACACTCTTCTCTCTCTTAGTCATCCAGTTTGGCTTTGTCACCCTCTTTGTGGCCTCCTTTCCTCTGGCACCTGTGTTCGCCCTCCTCAACAATGTCATTGAAGTACGGCTTGATGCAAAGAAGTTTGTGACTGAGCTGAGACGGCCAGATGCCGTGAGAACCAAAGATATTGGTATGTCCCCTGCTTAGAGATCATGGCAGGCCCTCCACCTCCATTGGTCCCCTCGGGCTCCCCACCACCACCTGCCACCACCATCGTACTCTGGATTCAGGAGGGCTGGGGGAAACCCTTGCCTCTTTATCCCTTGGAGCTCCTCATCCTCATATCTTTGGGCTCTGGGAGGCCTTTATCCACACCCACCTGTCCCCCTGGTTTCCAGACAGGGTGGCACCTAAGCCTTTCTAGGCAAGCCCATTCCTGGGGGGCCCTGCAAACCTCCACTGGTACCTTGCCCGCGGAGCATCACCCTGAGCTGCAGCCTTGTCAGTCACCAGGCCAAGGGTGGGAGTGAGCCAGACGCCCTGCTTTCTGTCTTACAGGGATTTGGTTTGACATTCTCTCTGGGATCGGCAAGTTCTCCGTCATCAGCAATGTAAGTGTTCCATCTGTGACACCCTAGCTCTGTGGGAAGGGAGCTGCAGAGGGGGCCTCCAGAGGAGCTGAGGTCTTCAAAGCAGGGTACCAGCCCTTGTTACCTTCCAGCCTTTTCCTTTTGGAGCTTCGTTCAAGGCAGCGCCCTGGTTAATAGTGCATACATGCCTTCTAACTCATCGGGCCGTGGCCAGGGCTCTGTGACTTTCTTGTTAACTTCACGACACGAAAGAAAGGTAATTATCCACCGGAATGCATACCTTGGCCTTAAGAGTCAAAATCTGATCTTTCCTCGGAGCCAAGAATAATGAGGAAAGAATTCCGCCTATCTATCCATCTCTTTCCTTTCTTTTTCTACTCCCGAGCTAAACAATACCTGGACCGTTGCCCGGGCCATGGTTCCTAATTATGGTTCCTCCAAGCTGTCAATGTGAAGTCATGATTATTCCCATGGACTCTGGCATGTGTAGGTTAAGACAGGATATACAAGAAGAGGGGTCCTACCTGTTGTGACCTCCTTAACTGCCTTGCCAGACATGTCCACATTTCTGAGGAAATCTTGCTGGGCCCAAGCCAATGGCAGCTTTGGCTTCTGCTTTCTGTGCGGATGGTGGCTGGGTAGGGCCTTTTGTTGGAGGAAAATCCTGCTGGCCTGGCGCATACCAAGAAAGCCACCACCCATTTTCCCCCGGGAGAAAAACTTTGGTTCTGGCTGTGACTTGGTTGCCTATTTAGAACACATAAAATGACTAGAGAGGCATGAGGAGAAGCAGAGAGAATCAGCCCGCTGCATTTTGAATGCTCGGTGTAGGAATTGTACATCTTAAGGCTGACAAATAAGGTGCAATTTGGAAACTAGATCAGTAGATATTTTAGAGTTGTGTTACCTAGTAAAGAGGCCTTGCATACTAGGCACTTTCCATCATACAACAGGATGACAAGAAGTCTTACCTCCCTGGCCTTTCTAAGACTTCTTTATTTATCTGTAAGAATGGGAGAGCATAAGATTACCCTCCAAAAAGGATCATTCTGGAAATTAACTGGGAAGATGAAAGGACCTATAGCAAGTGCTCAGTAAGTTACTCATTCTCAAATATGGTTATCGCCATCCACACTCATATATACATTTAGAAAACAATGCCTAAACTACATTTTTTTTTTAAAAAAAGGGCTTTAATTGTTGGTGCAGAATACAGTATAAACACCTGCCAGAAAGATTTAAGATTTTCTTTGCAGAAAGTACCTCCACATTCAAACATGCAATCATTCACTCATTGTTTGGTTTGCTCCGTAGACATTTATAGAACACTTAAATATGCCAGACAGTGCGTTGGGTACGTGTGGTGGGATCAGGCAAGACCCACGCCTTCCCCCATTGTCTCTGTGTTCCTAAGTCAAATGGATGAAAGAACAACTTCCATTACATGCTGTGCTAAAAAGTGTTGAGAGACAATGGTCAAATGGAAGGAACTGTGGCACCATATCCCTGGGGTTCCTGGTTCTCTGGTGTCCCCCAGAGACAGAAGTTCATGGTCATCCAGTGTCCTTGCATATCACTTGAAAGTGGCCCTCTTATCACAATCAGTAATTTTCTCAGAAAATCTTCCACTCTGCCTTGGCTTGGCCAACACCAGTGTCAATTCAAATATCTCAGAGGTGCTCATTCCCTCCAGAACCCAACGATCCACACTGGCTTAGCATCCTTAGCAACCAGCCACTGTCTTGTGGGTTCACTTACACATACCAAAGGTGGAAAAGCTGCATGAGCTCAGAGTAAGGACTTCTCTAGCAGAGTGGTGCCTCTGGATGGGGAGCCCAAGGAGGACCAGTCTCTCAGCCAGAGGGACCCTGCCCCACCTAGACAGCATCCATCCTGACCACCCCTCAAGCACATGTGCTTCTGTACTTCAGGCTTTCGTCATTGCCATCACCTCCGACTTTATCCCCCGCCTTGTGTACCAGTATGGCTATAGTCACAATGGGACCTTGCACGGCTTTGTCAACCACACCCTCTCCTTTTTCAACGTCAGCCAGCTGAAGGAAGGAACGCAGCCAGAAAACTCACAGTTTGACCAAGAGGTTCAATTCTGCAGGTAAAGTAATTGGGAGGAGGAGGGTGGCAGCAGGTGACCAGAAGTGGTAGATCCAATTATCTGGAAGATCTAGATTTATATCACTCTCCGCTCCCTCTTTCTCCTACCCTCAGCCCCCCAAATCATGATAAATCAATTTCAGTAAATCAATAAATATTTATTGAGGGCCTTTTGCCAGACACTACAGAGCAAAGAAGTATATAGCCTTGTCTTTACCACCAGGGGGTTTGTGGTCTGGTTGGAAGAATCAAGCAGAGCAGATGGGACAGAGCTGGCTATTCAGGGATTCTATCTAGTGTGGACCAGGAGCACTGTGGGTGTTCAGAGGAGAGGAAGATCGATGGGGGCTAGAAAGGAAAGGGTAGGGTTCCTGGAGGGCCCAGGAGGAGTTGTAAGACAGAAAGAGAGAGTATGCTAGGTGGGGAGTCAGCATGGGCTAAGTCGTGGGGTGAGGATGAATTTGGGGTGTTAGGTGAACACTTAGGGGTTAGGTAATGTAGTTAGGAAGAAGAGCACTTAAAAGATAATAAAAAGGAATAATATAGGAAATACGATATATCAAAACTCCTAGGATAGAATAAGCCAAAGCATTGTTGAATTTGAATAGGTAGGACGAAGTCGATAATGGGAAATCTTGATGTATTCCAGGCATTGTAATGTGATGTGATAGGAAGTTACCTCTTTAGTACCAGGAATGATAGATAAAGTGTAGGCTTAGGACAATTAGTCTGAGAGAGAAGGATGGACTAGAATTGGGGGAACTCAGGGAGGGCAGCTGAGCTGCTGCTGTCAGTCAGCCATGAACCACGGCAGGCATAGCCCAGAGTGGTGGAAGGAATTAGGAGGAGGTGAGGAGATGAGCTATTTACTGTAATACATGACAGCATTGGTGGCAAGAGACATAGAGGGCGCCCGAACCAAGGATATCTCTCACGGTTAGGCTGAAGTCAAAGGTGGGTCCATTGACAGTGATGGGGAAGATGCTAAAAGAATCCAATTTTATGGTACATATGATGAATTTGATTTCAAGCACATCAATTAAAAAAGTGGTGAGAAAGTTTTCACCTAACTCCGAGACACAGTAAGCTGGAATTCCTGAGAGGTCCAGGTCAGAGTCGTGATTGAAAACCACCAGCACGGGGATCATGGAAGCCAAGAAACAGAAAACTCTCCACTATTAACCCAAGAAAGGCAAATAAAGAGAACAGAGGGGAATGAATTCTTTAACCGTTTTGTACCCTCGTGAGATGATAGTCCCCATGAAGGGCTTGAGCAAAGATCACACCTCATATTTAAAAAAATAGAGCAATAACTACAACAAAAACCAAACCCTAAGAAAGGTATCAAGGGCTTTTCTGGGCCATCCCCAAGCGTGTCTGACATAAGAGCTGGTGATCCCTCCGTCAAAGAAGCCATACCCTGGGTGCATCCGTCGTGCATTCCCGCTTGGTACCTAAGGCCCGCCATTCATGCAGTGGCTGCTCAGGTTCAGACTCACAGTCTGCCGCCACACAGGAGAGAAAACGAATTGGTCTTCCCAACTCAGATGACTGAGTGACGCAGCCTTACCAATGTGTGATTTGAATAGAAGGGTATTCTGGTCCTAGCTGGGATAACTGTAGGGTTCCACTCTAGCCAACCGGGAGGAGACTCAAAACCGGGGACCAGATCTAAGAACAGGTAAGTACATTCATTCACAGGTCTTGATTTATGTCAGCCTAGATGTTTCCAGTATTTGCCCATCTGAAGCTATAAAGTCTCACTCTGGGACTGAGGTCCTCTGCTGCTACACGATGCACTGCCCAGGGCCACTCTGCTGTATGCCCGGCATACCAGACTGTGCTTGGTGTTACATTCTGGCCTACAGGTCCGAGAAAGACATAGTTCCACTACACAGAGACTGTCCCAGCTCGAGGCTTTTCTGGTAGCATCTAGACTGGCTCCAGCAGGGTACATGAAGTCAGTCAGCAGTTGGCACTGAAAAGTAACATTTACAAAATCATTTTTATAACCAGAAGGTATAGAAATGGTCTTGTTGAAGCTCCTCATTCTACATAAAAAGAAACCAAGGCTTAGAAAGGTGAAGAATTCTCTGAGTTACTGAGGTTTCACTGACAGATTCTGAAGTAAAACTAACATTTATCCAAGAATGCAGGCTCAACCCCCAGGCGCAGCGGGAGCAACAGCAGTGTGGGTTGTGTGGGGAAGCAAGGCTCACTGTGTGGTTTTTTGTTGTTGTTTGTTTGTTTTAGATTTATTTATTTATTTATTTATTTATTTATTTATTTATTTATTTGAGAGCGAGAGAAAGAGCACAGATGGGGAAGGGCAGAAGGGAGAGGGAGAAACTAAGCAGACTCTGCACTGAGTATGGAGCCTGATGCCTGGCTCAGTCTCATGACCCTGAGGTCATGACCTGAGCCAAAACCAAGAGTTGGACACTTAACCCACTGAACCACCCAGGTGCCCCCTGTGTGTTTCTTTCTTTCTTTCTTTTTCTTTTTTTCTTTTTAGAGGGAGAGAGAGAGCACAAGCAGGGGGAGTGGCAGGAAGAGGGAGAAGCAGGCTTCCCACGGAGCAGGGAGCCCGATGCGGGGCTCGATCCCAGGACTCTGGGATCATGACCCGAGCTGAAGGCAGACGCTTAATGACTGAGCCACCCAGGCATCCCATTCCCCTGTGTGTGTTTCTTTAGTTGGTCTAGAAGGACTGAGGATCTGGGACCTTGCTTCTGACCATCAGATCTCCCAGAAATACTATGAATATGCTTTCCAGATATATCAGGGGCTTAACTAGCTTAAACATAAAAGGACTTTAATGGGCCCCCAAGGCAAGACTTGATTCAATCAGGTCTGCCTAAATCAGATCTTTCTCCACCTCCCTCCCAAATAACTGGAGTATGACAGCCAGCAGCTACTGGGTCCAAGTCCAAGTGGGAACATACCTCTTTCCCAGTGATCCTGCCAAAGTCTCATCGGCTAGGACCAGTATGCATGCCCTCCCAGAACCAATCACGGTAGCCTGAGGAGGAGTGGGGGGTCGGAGGTGAAATGATCTCCATCTGAGGCACAGAGTAGGAGGTAGTGCCCTGGTGAGAAGTTAAGATGAATGGCTACAACAACAAAGCCCAGCAGACCAGGTATTATTAGTACACATGGAGCAGATCAGGCTTTGTTGTAGCTGCTTTCAGAGTCACTAGACTCCCCAGCCTGCTGCAAAGCCCTGATGACTCTTCTCTTCATGGTTTCTGTGCAAGCTGATGGGATCATGGCTTACTGGTGGCCCATTAAACAACAACAACAACAACAACAACAACAAACAAAACGAAACAAAACAAAACCTCTTCCAGCAAAGTGGCAGAATTATTACTGGGTGCATAAGTAGGAAGTGCATTTTATATTTCTGCTAAGAAAATGTATCTGCAAGATCACACCAAAATGATTTCTGGAGCATCTGTCATGTTTTCTTACTCAGTACCAGTAACGATTATGGGTTCACTGTGCAACCATTTTTGAGACCTTATGATAAAGGCTTGTCGTTGGTGCCATAATAAGGAACAAGACACAAGGTCTCCCTCAAGAAGTCTAGATGAGGAGATGAGCAAGTAAGCAAGCAGTTAAAATCTAGCTTTAATAATTTATAATAGGGTAACTGCAAGGAGCTCTGAGAGCCCTGAAGAAGGAGGCATGCATCTAACCCAGACCTAAGTATTGTGTGGAAGCTTCAAGGGAGCTAAAACCTGAAGGTCGAACGGTGCAAGGTTGGCCAGACTGATGCTCTTGGCCATACTGATGCTCTTGTCGACGTTCCTCATTCACACAACCAAGCCAGCCTGGGAGGGATGGGAAGAGTGCTGGGGGACCGGAAAGGACCTTAAGTGGTGAAGGAGGTCTGGGGAGAACAAGGCCTTCCAGGTAGACGGGCTCCTTGGTGCTTGGTGGTGGGAGCTGGAGTGGTGGATAAACTGAGGGGCAAGGCAGGAAGAGAATACAGAAGCCAGACCAAGAAGAGCACGGTGGTCATATGGAGGTGCGTGGACTCCCTCTTAGGGCAGTGGGGAGCCACAGGGAGCAGGGATGAGATCATACTTTTCTTTGGTGTTCTCTCTGGCTGCAGTGTGAAGACCGGGGAGTACATTTGAAATAAAGAGATGCTCCATTCTACGGTGTAAGCAGGTGTCCAGACAGCAGGGTCAGCCTATTATCTAGATATCATATAGGTGTACTTTGGGGCTACCTTTTCCTAGATGGATAATAATTATTGATGGAAATCTCTGCCTCAGTGGGTCCTGCTCACTGCGTGCTGTGTGAACTTGGCTGGCTCACCAGAGTCTCAGAAAGTGGTGGCATGGCCTACTGATGTTGTAAGCCAGGAATCATCAGTGGCTGTAAGAAGTGGAAATGCAGGAGAATGAGAGAGAGAGAGAGAGAGGAGAGGGAGGGAGAGAGAGGGTGGGGAAGGGAGGGAGAGAAGGAGAGAGAGCTCTGGAGCTAGCTCCAAAGCCAGTGTTTAAAACTGCTTCCGTGGTGGGAAATGAAAAGTTTGCCCTGATTTTCTGGCAAATAGTGTTGGGAACTCGATGACCCTTCTTATTCTTAGCTTTCAGTGACCTCTGGAGATAAATGTGGTCAAATAAAACTGAGGTCTCCGGCTCCAACCCAGCCTCGCCAGGGATAGAGGTATCTTAAAAATAGCAGTAAAAGTTAGGACAAGTCTCCAGCTGCCCATTTGAGATGCATTCCCAGCATTTTTGGAGCAATGTTTGCTTCAGTCCTTTCACTGCTCTGGCAGGGCTGCTTCATAAACAGTCCGATGACGTCGGTCTGCGGGCAGGGGCAGTGGCTATTGACAGGGCAGAAGGGCTACCATGTCCTGGAGGGCGGATGGTGGCCCAGGCTCCTGGCTCCATTGGAAGGGAGCGGAGGGGCTGGCAAGGGAGGGCCTGGCCAAGGATCTGGGGCCTGGAAACTGGGGAGCCTACTTGGGCATGGTCAACCCAA